AATACCACATGTTTTCAGAGTATTTATTATGCGTTCCGCCCAAAAAAGCGCAGTTCAATTTTCTCCCATTGACTTGAGCGATCTCAAAATTGACCCGGCCTTTCTGTCAACAATGTCAAACTTGCAAAGTAAACGTTTCAAATACATATACTGTTGCCCATGAAAATCGCTGAAAGATCTGAAGCGATCGGATAGTCGGTGTATTTAGATATGATGAGCAAAGGAACTTTCCTTGAGGTAAGGTCACTTGACGTGACCTGGTGTTATGACCTTGAATTGAAAGACTTGGGCGGGAAAAAATGGGTCGTTTGAAATATCAAAATGCTAGATTTTAGCAATAATTGCAAACACTATCCCGGCCAAATAGTGAGTGAGAAGGGAGCGATTCCCCGACCCCATGTTTAGCTCCTATAATTGAGCTAGCTGCTAGAGCCTCGCGGAAAAAAAAACGAGTGCTTGCGTCGTTACGTGACGCAGCGACTGGTACCCCATTTTAAAATATCAGTGACCTCTTAGGGCAGGTCAAGGGCCCCAAGGCATTTGATCGGTTTTTGGTAAAAAACTAAACGCATTATCGTCATTTCGATGCAATCGTGTTTTCTGTTCTCAGACGCGTCGATTTATATGCTTTTTTGTTCAGGTGAAGCAATTTAGGATGTTTACCTCAGGTCAATGTCATGTTAGAGCAACGCAGGTCACGAAGCTGTTGAAAGGAGGACATGTTGCATAACGTTTGATTCGACAAGTCTTGCATGAAGTCCATTGATGGCTGTCCCGACTGGCTAGCTCATTTTGATCGGGAGTTATTGACGAAGCACTCGTATGACCCTAGTGACGTCATAAATGACGTCACGCAAGGTGAACAATGCAAAAGTGAAGCATTAGACCTTGCCAAGAATATATGAAGTCATGATTTCATGTGCTTGAGGTATAGTTGCAGATCATTTCCGACGCCAAATTAACAGTTTCCATAATTCCCCATTATGCTTTATATGACACTAAGTGCATTGCGGATATTGCATCATTTTATAAGCGACAACCGTGCAGAGGTTTACTTAACCCGCGCCCCGCTGGGCTATTCAGCCATACGCGCCCTGCTGGGGGGGGGGGGGCAGATTCTGCCCCCCCTGTCTAACTTCCGAACCGATGGTCGTAGAAAGACGGGGAAAACGGCAATCGAAAGCTCTCAACAAAGCGGATCTTAAGAGCCCATTTTTTTGCTTAAATAGGTCAGAGGTCAGGTCAAGGTCAGGTCAAGGGTACAAAATGTAAGTTTCTACAGTATCGGCCTTGCACCGTAGTTGCCGAAGAATGGACTGAGACTGATTGCCCAAAACGTGTTCTTAGACTACCAAGACAATATTCGTTGCATACAATGTCATTCAAAGGTCAAGTTCAAGGTCAGGTCAGGTCAGGTCAGGTCACCAAAAACAAAATATAGAAAAGGGCATGTGCGACACATGTTTTATGGGTCATTTTACTCATAGAATTCAATAGGCACACTCAATAAGTGATATGGACCACCTCTGGATGAATGTCAGGTCGAGGTCAGGTCAAGGTCAGGTCAAGTGAGGTCAAATTTTGAAGTTGGTTGTTAAGGCCTAAAAAGGTGTCTATCGAATGCAGTTTTTCACGGCGAATCGAATGGTGCTATTTTTGTTTCCGTACGAGGTCTAGAACTTCCAAAAAAATCATTTTTCAAAATTTTTGTGTGTCGTGACGTCATAAATTTTTGAATAACTCCCACATTTTTGAACCGATTCGTCTAAAAATTGGTATGTAGGTGCACATAGACCAGTTCTCTGACATATATTCCGGTTTTTTCGATACACTCAAAATTTTGGATTTTATAATTATTTTCCCAAAAAAGTCAGTTTTTTGAAAAAATTTGGGCCAAAATCCAAAATTTTCAAAAAACCGAGATAGCCAATTGATAGACAAAGTAGAATCACGTATAACCTTTTTTGTTACGTCTTGATTCCTTTAAAATTGAGGATGTTACCGGCGTTTGAAATTTTGCCGTTTTTGAGGCGAAAATGGCGAACATGACGTCACTAAAACGTCAATTTCTCAAACATTTTCCGACGGATTTCGCTCAAATTTTCAGGGAACGTGTCAAATTGATGTATGATAAGATGCTGAAAGTTTGACGTCGCTGGCGTAACGCGTTTAGAAGTTATTGGCGAAAAACGGGAGGGGGGGCAGATTCTGCCCCCCCCCCCCCCAGCGGGGCGCGGGTTAACCCTATTCCTGGCGGGCTCCGCCGGGACAAGAAACTGGCGGGGGGGGGGCCGATTCGGCCCCCCCCTGAGATCTCGAGAACGAAGCAAGATAGCGACAAGCGGTAAACGGCATCGGATACGCACGGCCAAGATCTACAATTTTTACAAAGGTCATTTTCAGGTCAGGTCAAAGATGACGTCACAGGGGTCGAAAAAGTCAAAATGGCGGCGCTAGATATGGAGAGAGTTTTTCTCGAATAACTTTCGAATTAGTCAAGATAGGAACAAACTAAGGGCATCATCGTGATCCTCTCGTCAATCCGCATCGAATGATATATATGTTGACCTCGAAAGGTCAAGGTCAAAGGTTGACCTCAGGTCACGTGACCTCGAGGTCATCATGTATATCATTCGATGCGTCTTGACGAGCTGAACACAATGAGACCATCCACGCGTCTGTATCTTGTTCCTGTACGGAGTTATTGGCCAAAAACCTTTGGTGACCTTTGATGACGTCACATGACCTCACAGCTGCCCAACAGCAAAACAGACCTCAAGGTAGTGAAGGTTGATCGTATATGAAGTCATGTATGGTATATGGGGCCATTCCGACCCGTTTTAGTGGTAAAAACAGGGAGTTGATTTTTCCCCCATTGACTTATAATGGGGAGGTCACGAAATTGACCTGACCTTAGGTCACCGATATCAAAATTCCGAGATATACAAATTGCACATACTGGTACCCTAACTAAACCCTGAAGAGAAGAAATTGATCGGTCAAAAACTCTAGCTCTGGCGTGATTGCAAACTTTTCTGAGGTAGCGTCACCAAACCGCCTCTGGTGACCTGACCTGAGGTCAGATCAACTCAAAATTTTCAGACATGTTGCGTAGAAGCCTTTTAGGAAAAGTCAGAAAATTTGAGCTTCCTAGCTCAACGCGTTTGGGAGATATAACCAAAAAACCTCAGGGGGGGGGGGCTCCTGAGGCCCCCCCCCCGCCAGGAATAGGGTTAAGACGTCATAGTTAAGTGACCTGACCTGAAAACGTGGTTGATGTCAAGTGATCCGGCTTGAATGAAATGTAAGGCATGTGAAATGTCAGCCTTCTATCATCAGTGTGCTTTGAGCTACCGCAAAAAAATACATGGTGGCTGCATCTGGCTGCATCCACCCCTTCTTCTCGGCCGGCGAGGGTTAAACCTCGCTTCGAATTATTGCAGATAATGATGCGACCGAAAACAAAGCATTTATCTGCGTCTAGAACGGCCACTGACTTGTTGGACAAGATCCCAATCTTAATTCACTAGATGGGAATAAAATACTCGGTATGTGATACATATAGTTATACCCCTCGATTTGCCCTCGCGCTAAGTCTATTCTAATCATCACTGTCGCTTTTTTATCCGAGATGATGTCGCCGCTAAACGGGTTGCTTTGTTTGCTTGCTTGCGTTGAATGGCCATTACGGATTATTGAAGGATTATGATAAAATAGGAATGGGGCAAGGGAGGATATGCACTGCAGGTGTTTAATTTAGATCACAAAGGCATCATTTCCGGCATCGTGCAGAGTCATTATCTTCCCCTCCTCTGCACTGCGGCATCTCCGCGCCCCACACACGGCGTCCTCACTCTACGGCCGGCCGCCGCCAACTGACCCACTCGCCGGGCGCCGCGACCTGACCCGTGTCGCTGCCGCGGCCTGCGCAATAGAGTCGGGGCTGGAATCCGGGGGTTCGGCCGGCCGGCCGCCTCTGGAGCGGGGGACTTTTTTAGTAGACCTACTGTACCTCAACCGTTCTTTAGTCAAGCTACGAGTAGAGCAGCTACGAGGCACCCGGACCTGGCCGTGGCACGGGCCGTGGCAGAAAGCCAGTCTAGAGCAGGACTTGGCGGTCCGAAACCATACCAACTCCGGAGCGCTACGGCATATACTATACTGGCTAACCGGAATAGGGACATATCGACCAAAACCCCTGGTCAGTGTTCACCCCGTTTACCTACACCTAACACCGGCCCGGCCCAAATCTGGCGGGTCGGAGTTGCCGCGGCAGAACGGACTTGAGCAAAACCAACTTGTTGGCTGGGATTCCGTTTACACCGGTCCAAATCTGGGCATGTCTGAGACCGGAGTTGCCGGGACAAAACGGACTAGAGCCAAACCAAATTGCTGTCTGGGTTCAAACTTCAACGTGACATGCCGATTGCCAGGAGGGTCGTCACCTCTCCCCGGGCCAGTAACGTTATGGAAAAACAGCCTAGGCAAGGGACATGATCATTGCTCACATTCCACAGCTTACCGTGCCGATTTGGTGCAAAACACCCTGCATTTCGAGTGATTTATTTTTCGTTCGGGGATTAAAAGATTGTTTAAGGTTATACTAATTTTATTTCAAGCGTCATTCGACAAACAAACCCCAGCAAGCAACGTCCTAGCGATTGAGGTTGATGAATAAAATAAACGACTTTAAATTTATCCTGAAGGGACCAGCTACATGTATCAGTATCTTTTTTTAAATAAGATGCGTTAGGTGTACTCCAATTTCAAATATGACCCTTTTCCTCTGCCGAAACAAGGGTGGTTTGAAAACAAGGGATGACGGTTTTGAATGCTGAGTTGTGATTGGTGCGCATTCGTTTGATGCTGCGTGCATTTTGAACCTGGCGAAAATCGAACATTTTCTTTGCATTTTCTACAGTCGGATTTGGGGTGCCAGTTACTGGTATGTTTATCTGTTAGTATAATATTTATTCTATAAAGTTAATAATACTGATCATACTGATATTGAACTCTTTTTCATCTGATATTGATATCCCCCTGTTCCACACTACGGGCTCAGATATATTGCAGTTGCCTCTGTCTTTGTACTTATGTTTTTGTCACTTAAATTTTGCCTGATATCCTTGAGTTGATTCCTGATTTACACATTTTTTTAGTATAATACCTGATGCTGGTATAATAAACATCATGAATCCAGCTATCAGCATTTCAAATTGTGATCCTTTCAATTTTAGCATATAAATATGTCATCTGTGCTTTCTGGAATAACAATGGTGTGTAGCCCTTTTTATTGTTATTAAGAATTCACTCCCCCTGTCAGATTCAGGTGAAAATAGTGATTTTTTTATGGAGGAAAGAGGGGACTGCAACTGACATTAGTAGAGCAGACGTCACACGAAGGTTTTCTGGTATTAGTAAGCCTAGCGTCCCAGGAAGATGCCAGATTGGGATGACGGAGATATATACCAAAACAAACCTAACCAAACCTGACGTAACCTTACCTACAACCTACAACCTACAACCTATCCTACAAACCTACAAACAAACCTACAACCTACAATGGTATCTGGCATCTTCCTGGGACGCCAGGCTTACTTATACCGGTTTTCCAACCAAACAGAGGCGCTGTAGGTTTGTAGGTTGTAGGGTAGGTTTGTAGGTTGTAGGCTGTAGGTTAGGTTAGGTCAGGTCAGTTGCTTTGCCTCGGATTGAACACTGAAGGATATACACTGTGACTGAGAGTAGGTCAGGTACCTACGATATGAATGTGGAGTCATGTCCATGCAAACCAAATTCATTTGTTAACAGTGGATACCATAAAATGAGGCTATCAGGGTGGGCTCAGGCTGGGTCATGACTCAAGAGCATAGATGGAGAAGTATAAGGAACTCAGCATGAGTGTTCTAGCACCACAAATTGCAGCTTCAGGTGCCTGATTTACTTTTGAGCCGCAAGAGATGGTGGGGTCAAGATCCTTGTGTGGTGGATTTTCAGTGCTGAAACATCCAGAGATCCTTACGAATTCTCAGCCGATCAGTATTTCCAAAACATTTTGAATGCTTTGAATTTTTCTAAGAAACATCAATTCAAGAAGATTTGCACCCAAAGAACTTTGTGGAAAGGCCACTGACTAACATAATTTTAAGCCAGTCTAATTGCTTAGTGAGCTTACCAGTAGATGCTTACCAGAAGAGTAGATGGAAATAAGGAGACATGTGCTGCAGTGCAAAGGCAAAAACTACTATGTGAGGTCGGAGTCTGACCTCACATAGGTAGTAGTTTTTGCCTTTGCACGGCAGTGTGAGCTTTGGCTCATAAAGGCTGCCTCCTGGTCATGTTGGGTATTGGTCATAGTTGTGTTTGAATGTGTTGAATATCAGATAGATTTTGATGGAAAACAGGTCTAGGTATAGCCTATAGGGGACATGAATATGGCACATCATTGCAAACCAGGACCAGGATGTGTCGAAACTTGAAAGAAGGAAATGTACCTATTTCAAAGATGAGATCATGGATTTAATGGATGCAGTAAACAAGGGGATTAGTTTCAGATCAGGTGAGATGTTATAGATTCCAGGAGCTGTCATCTATCCTTATCATCAACTGACTCCTAGGAAGGAGCCCAACACATTGGCATCATTCGTGCCTGTATCATGCTCCAATAGAAAGTTAACTACGAGGTTAAAAACCCTGACCTTCACATGTTGTTTGTTCTAGCTCAAACTTGGCAATGTCTGGTCTAGAAGAGCCTACAGAGTTGTTGGTACAGGTGCAAAAGTCGTCCAACCGGCAGGGTGAAACTGTGATCCAGGTGATGCGTCATGTGGATCCTCCGTCATCGCCTGGTGCCGAGGACGACAATGAAGACGGCGTCGATGATAGCCTGCCCATGGACAGCAGCGGCAAGAAGATGTACCCGCAGCGGTATCGGACTGCCTGGGAGGAGGTACCCGCCTTCCGCGATTGGCTGATGCCCGTACCAGGTGACCCATTCTCGGCGGCCTGCGCCTCGTGCGAGACATCCATGAAAGCTCATCGGCAGCTGCTGGTGGAGCACTGCAAGAGCAAGAAGCATCAGCGCCAGCTTGGTCACCGAAACCCGGACTTTACTCCGGTGCCGGCGGCACGGCGCGGCCGGAAGCGGCCGACTCCGTCTTCGGTCACCACCTCCTCACCGGCGCCCTTCCGCAGAATGATGAAACAGCTGCGGCCTGAGCGCGAGCCCGAACTGGAGGTCTCCTATAGCGATACCAGCCGTGTGACGTATGCCATCGGCTTGGGAGCGCAGCGCGTTGGCTTCATCGGATCGGGCAGCGTTGCGCGCTCCATTGCCAAGGGCATGCTCGACAAAGGCCTCGTAGTGCCCAACAAAGTGATGGTGAGCGCGCCCAGCGACCGGAATTTCGAGACCTGGAGAAAGTGGGGATGTCGCGTTACCAATTGCAACGACAGCGTCATCAGCAGCAGCGAGATCATCTTTCTGGCGGTAAAGCCTTCTGCCCTGGAGGCACTGGTCGCCGATTTGTCTGTGATCCCCGAAGACAAGTCTCGGTGCTTCATTTCACTCCTCTCGGGAGTCACCCGCGAGCGTGTAGCGTCGCTGCTGGCTGCGCGCCGACAGCTCCAGGCAGACATGGCCGAGCTCCACGTGGTGCGCTGCCAGCCAAGTACCCCCCTCATGATTGGGGAGGGCTCGTGCTCGTACTCGGCTGCGCCGGACTTGCCGCACAGCTGGCTGCTAGCTGTCGAGACCATCTTCTCCGCGCTCGGCATGTGCTACAAGGTGGAGGAGAGTCTGATGGATGCGCTTGCCGGCGCCTTCAGCAGTGGCCCGGCCTTTGCGTACGCGTTCGTCGAGGCGCTGTCGGCGGGCGCCGTCAACATGGGCGTGCCGTGGCACCTGGCGCGTCCCATGGCGGCCCAGACGATGCTGGGCGCCGCGCGCATGCTGATGGAGACGGGCTCCACGGCGGCCGAGCTGCGCGACGAGGCTTCCTCGCCGGGCGGCACCACGCCCGCTGGCCTCATGGCGCTGGAGAAGAACGGCATGCGCTTCGCCGTGATGGCCGCCGTGCAGGCTGCCACTGAACGTGCGCGCGAACTAGGCAGGGAGGCGTCGGTCGCCAGCGGTGATCCGATTGGGTGATGAGAGCTAGCCTTGAGCGTGGCGTATGTTTGCCCGATTTTAAAATAGTTTCCGAACACCCTACCCATTCATTTTTTTCTCGATTGCTATTGAGTCATAACTGGTATTCTCACAATTTCCGGTCCGTATTGTGTGAATCCATTTGAAGTCAGAGGAATGATACGACAACCCAGTGCGTGGTTCGACCCTGTGTTCACTATTCAATGTGTATTCCAGTAAGCCCAAGGTGACGTTCGACATAACCGTGTTAGTTTGTGTGGCAGATGAACGATGCCGTTTTGCAGGCACATAGTGCAAACGCGATTTGTGTTTCGCAACCACCGTTGATGAATGAAACAGGCCTCTTGAAGTATGTAATGTTGGAATGGAAGTCATGATTTAACGCCCTTCCATGCCAATTGTTGTCTGGAAACTCGTGTTCGGGAAAAATCAGTTCATGTGGTATTGCTTGCCATTTGCTTTGATGCAGGGTTTCCACGTCGCTAATCTATGTTCTGCTTCTCCGACTGCGTCAACGTAACGATAGTGATTGTAGTTTCGCTGGCCTCCTAAGTATCATTCCTAGCATAGACAGCGCGTTGTACATAATCATCATCACTGCATGTCGTCTGTGCATTCTAGGCCCATAGTAGCGGTGTCAATAAAAGTTTCGTTCTTTCCAGTGGTACTGCTGGTTTTTGATAAGCTCCTGCAAAGGGAGGACTTAGATAACATGACATGTTTGCAACGGATATGGGTCACACGAGCATGAGATAGGTATTACGCTCAACTTGCGAAAGATCGAGAAATTCTGATGTTTTGAACGTTCTATCCTGCCTAGCCAGCATTTTGTTTTTTATTATAAAAAACGTTCATATCGCAAACCGACATTTCATGAACAAAACTTTCATTTTACGTGACCCCGACCAAAAAGTACCAGGCTAGCTCCCGTATCACGTATGTCAATGCTATTGGCCTTCGTTTCTTTTCCACTATTACAATGTGTGACACGATCAGCTAATGTATTTTACATCTGTAGTTCAGTTCACACCATTCACGATACCACCCCCGAGCCGGCCAGCTCACTAGCGGTAGGTCTTCCAGAGGCGGTCCTTGTACGCCACCTGGCCGGTGCTGAACTCCTTCTCCTTCCTCGTCTGAAAGGTCACAAGGTACCGCGTTACACGGCTGGCTGCGCGTCTATGGACCGGTGGGGCTTGAGACGGGGTGAGATATGCAGGCTGTTGGCCATAAAGCCTACACTGCAACGCACCATTCTAACGCAGAAGTGATGACCATTCGTGCAACGTCAAAAAGTTGTCACTAACGAACTCAACATACATAAAATGTTGCATTTCAAATGATCTCAAAGATCGCATTTATGACCTTCGAAAATGTTTTAACATACTAATTCTAATTTACCTCGTGGCTCGTTACCTTTAAGTTAATTAAAACAGGCTTGATGCAACACGAGGACTTTCAACACAATTACTACGAGTAATCGCGAATAATTTAAATCACAACAGAGTTTGGTATGCCATTATCGACCACACGTAAGAGAGGCGGTCCTTCGGCAGAGACTGCAGACAGCAGATACTGACCCGGTCCCAGTGCATCAGCTGGGCGAACAGCAGGATCGGGATGGCGGTGATGCCGATGCCGCGGAAAAAGTTGCCCAGCGTCGGCCGGAACGATTCGTACTGGGTCACCCGCATCGACATGAACCGCTGCATGGCCGGGTCGAACTGCAAACAGAAAACGTGCGCGCTTCACAGCCCTACTCAGCGTTCACTGTTCAGCTTTGGTTGTACATACATCCACCTGTGAGCTGGGCAATGTGCAACAAAGGGAGCATTGGACCCTTGGTACTTGTATCATGCATCCTTATATATATTTCAGCGCTGAATGTTGAAAAAAAAATCGTGCTTGGGGATACATCACGCTAAGTCTAGAACAGATAGTCTTATAAACAAGAAAGAGGCTCCGCTTATAAATTTCATTCGAGTGTATTGTACTCTTTACAGGCGGAATTCAAGACTATCTCTGAAGCCTCCGCAGGGCTTGTTGCGCAGGTCCTGACCTCTGCCGACCGACCGGGAAACTCCGGTCACCAGGCGCCATCTGTTCTGGCGTGCCGTGCCGATTCCCAATACAGTGAACCTGTTTAATAACGTGTCCCCATGGCCTGACACCTTCTGCCCCCATCACAAGACTTCATCCAGCCTGTACGGCGACCGCTGTCACGTTCCCTGGCCGTCGGGTGTAGCAAATATTGGGCGCTAAAGCAGTCCAAAATACCGATGGGCTCAGGAGTCAGATACTATCCCCTAAGCTGATGAGAATCACGGAACAGTTACAGTTTGAGGTGTTCCCACGAAAGTAAACAAGCTGAAAGTCCCAATTCCATTCAGCTTCTAGCTGAACTGAGTGTGCCACCAGCAGCCTTGGGACACAGACACAAAACGAAAAAGTGGGAAGCAAGCAATGGCCATATTTTAATTATATGATGAGCAACAGAGCAATACATAATCAGATGATGGTCCTTAAAAACCATTTCCATCAAATTATGTATGATTTTTCTTTTTTAATTAGGAGCTATTTTGAGAATTATTTAGATATCCCTATGCAACAAGGAGTGTTTATAACCCCTGCCCCCCCCCCCCCATCCTAATTCTGCTCATCAATTTTATTTTGGTGTCTGCAGATATCAGAAATGGCAAGAAGAAATGGGCAAGTCTGAAGCTTGTTTTACAATTTTGATACACTCTTTGCTACTGCTAGAGTTATGCAAAAATTCAGGTAACCAGAGGCCAGCAATAAGCCATTTTCAAAATTCAAGCATTTTCTGAAAGGTAACTAAGCTAAAATGATCAAGTACCATCAACTGTTAGCCATAGTCTCTGGATCAATTATTTCAATTTACCCATTGAAAACTGACCCATGGACCATGGTCTGGACAACAAATTTCCAATCATTATGTTTTGATCAATTGCCTCCACTCTATTCAACTTAACAAGTGGTGCTACCATAATCATTGCAGAATCATTCAATTATGATAATTACTCCACACTGCATCCAACACCAGCTGATAACAATCAGCTGATGTTAACACATATATGCAGATTACATGGTTATTTGAGTAGCTGAAGACCTATCATTCTCCATGAGCAGAGCTGATGACTGATGTTACCTATGCTACTGAAGTGGATTGCATCTAGGACAAGATTAAAGGCTGATAGCTCTCCTATGATAGATAGAATTTACCAGAGGGGCATAATGTTAATAATAAGCCAGTAGCCACAGAATCTGAATGACATTCACATAAAATCATGTATGTTCAGATTACTCAAAATCATTAGTTAGGTACACATGGATTAAATATCAGAGCAACTAATACATTATAAATTTATAACATTCACACCACTGACTGAGGTGGAATCTAAAAAAGGGTGCCTGGGGCGATTTGAGCAAGGCTCTTGAGATTTGCTCGCACAAATCACGTGACAATTAGTCTGTGGAAGATGGGGAGAATTTTGTTGCAGTCACATGACTTAATATGTCATCTGGCACCCTATTTTCAGATTTCACCTTGAAAAACATGATTAGCAATCTTGATCTTCAAAACAAGTTGGCTGCATGACAAAAATAAAATCACACCGTGTGTTTTCATCATCCAAGGTAAAGTTGAAACCAGACACAACCCAAACAAGCCTGGGGTCTTTTAACTCGTATTGCAGCACCACATATCTTACCACATATCCACCATGCTTGTGGCTGTGAGGGTCAGAAACCAGCTTTTGCCATTGGGCTTTCATTTTCATTCGATGGTTCCGACGCTCTTCAATTAGCCTTTTCTCCTGAGGAGAAATATCATATTGTTCCCCAGACATTTTTAACTCGATGATAAGCTAATGTCTAAGAATGACTCCTAATTATCTCAGAAAATAACAATCAAAATATTATTCAGAAAGCTCTCTATTCTATCTTGAGCGCTCCCTAGCTCAAAACCAAAACATTGCCCGACTTCTTTTTGTAGACGGAATCGCGTCAAACCTAGAGGATTCAGGCAAAGTTCTCTGAAACAGCGCCTTGCAAAATGCAGAAATTGAATTTCAACTTCATCCTGAATTGTCTTAAGCCTGTTTTACGGTAAATGAAATGAGTTTTAGATTCTGAACGAAATGCTCAACTCAAATATGCGTTGATTCGAAAAGTATTTTTGGGACATATATTAAATTTATCTAAATATAGAGATCTCTGCGATATCTCTCGCTAAACACATGCAGCAGCTACTGCCAAAACAAATAACTTTATTTGAGGCACTGAAATCCAAAAAGAAAAATGATCTTCTTGCAGTGGAAACCTAAAAGGCTGCCACAATTTATATACACTGTGGCTGCCACGACTCAGATTCTTCAAAATTTCGGCCACGGCCTTTGGCTCCAAGCTAAGGGCTTGGATATGGTGGTGACTGGTCATCGGTCATCTTTATTTTCATCTTCAGTATCAGGACACCCAAATTCTTCTCGACGCCTCTAACATCCTGATCCGGACTGAGTGACCAGCCATCATCTTCATCCTCCGATGTGAGTAGCTTCTCAGAGCAGGCCTAACGTGCATTGGGGTGCCCAATCGCGGGTGCGATTGGCTTGTCCAATGCCATGACTCCGTCGAGACAGACTTGTCCCTGGCGGCGCATCTGGGTGCACCCAGGTGGGGGAGACAATCTGGGCGGCCATGGTTGCCCAGATTGTCTCCCCCACCTGGCACTGACACAACCCAGCTAACAATTTGCCGTTGTTACAAGTTACAACGTCGTTTGAACGTTGTCAAATGGTTACCACAACGTCCAGATTTATCGTTGTGACAACGTAATTTTGTAGACTCCAGACAACGGCGTGACAACGTCATCCGACCATGCATTTGAATGTCATCACAACGTTTCTGTAACGTGGCCGTGACGTCCCAAAACTGTTCTTACAACGTCCCGCCAACGTTATGAAATGTTTTCTGTAACGTACCAACAGTGTTTCTGGAACGTTGTCACCACGTTTCCGCAACGTGACTACAAGGAGTATAGAACGCTTTGGCAACGTCTCTGCGACGTTAGTTTATCACGTGCGCACCACGTTGTCGCTACTTCGTATTGCCGTCCCTGCGACCCTGAGTAAACGTCCTAAACATTTTCGCAACGCCCTCTCAACGTGTTAGCAACATACTCAGAATGTGTTTCCGACGCTCTCTTCCCGTTCTCTAGACTTGTAAAAAAGGCTTGTAAGAAGTGTATATTTCAATACATCATACAGGTCAATTTACAAAAAAAAAACGACGGCGGCGGCATCGGTGATGGGGCATGGGGCCCAGGGGCGCCCCCATGGGGGCGTGGGACGGAATTGGGTTCTACCGGCTCTGGCGCTAGCCGCTAGCACGCCAGAACTGGTGGAAGTTCACTTCTTCACTAACCCTCGCTGGGAGGATCACTCGGCGGACCGTTAGGCACCGGCTCATTTGCGGCCTCGATGTCCCTAGGCAGCTGGCAGTGCCTGACTAGACGGTCTGCGCAACCCCCGTTCCGGTCGCAGCTTCCGGACAGCCACTTCGCTACCGCATTGCCGACAGTAGGCCTGCCACAAGGCGCGCTGACGAGTTGCAGGACGTCTGCGGGAAGACACGAGGGAAAATCAGACATTCAATTCATGAAAAAATCACAAAAGTACCTGCACCACTTTCCGTAACAGTGCGACAGGCTAGATCAAACATGTCAACACCTTAGAGGCTAGAGCTACAATGAACTATAGCCTAGACCGCACGATATTACAAAGCACAATCTTGCAAATGCTACTCGTAAATGGTACTTTGACTTACCAGTCAAAGCAACAATCGCATCAAACGCAGACAACTGGCGCTATCTTTCATCTTCCAGCTATCTCAGCCGCGCCCGCCGCCGGCCCTCACTGCTCGCTCGCGCCGCGATGACTGCGGCTCGGCCGGCTGGCTCTGAACGCCGGCCGGTGACACTGACCGCTGACGTCACGGCCCCTCAGGCGAGGTCAGGGCGCGAGCCACCGTTCGCCTGAGTGGCGGCCCGCGTGGCTTGCTGGCAGCCGCGGATAACAGCCGCGTTTACATAGGGATAGTTGCAAGCCTCTAGCTCCGCCTGTGATGTTGCAAAACATGCCAATGACGCTTTGCAATTTACACATGTTATATATATATATATATAACATGTGTAGATACTGGCGACCACCAGTATCTGCTTCCCAGCTACAGTAACATACATTTGAACAAAGAAGCAGTGAAAAGGAAGAGATTCACACTAGATTTCAGGAAGAGTCTGGTGCAGAATGAGATTCAAGAGAAACTCTCTCTGTTAGACGATTTAGCACAGTCGCTTTCTGCGGAAAGAAATAAGTATGACCAGCTAACTCTGCCGGAAGCTCTGAGATCTGCAACCGACAGTGCTTTAGCTGAAGTGTTAGACCTACACCAAAAGATTGGCGAAAGTAAAATCCAGAAGAAACTATCCAACCTCTACAATGGACGCGTCCCCATACCTGAAAACAAAGACGGTTACATCAACTTATCGAAGTTCGAGCTATCCAAAGACCAAAAGGAACTGCTAAACCTTGGACTTAACTACCAGTATGCACCCAAGTTCAACAAAGAAGACAAAAAGGCGGAACTTGAGCTTCTGTACCAAGATATATGCAGAATGAAGAATCAGGAGAAGATCAGCGTATCTGACAACATCCAAGCACAACTCCAAGCGGAAGCAACGAAGGACCGCAACCAGCAGAGGAAGTCATCACTCCCGCCGCGCCTGTGGACAGCTGCGAAAGAACTACGAGAAAACAAGGAAATCGTCATCAGACGAGCTGACAAATCACAACTCTTTGTCATCCTGGATAGTGAGGAGTATCATCAAAAGGTACAAAATATCCTAGACGACGACAGCAAATTCAAAAAAATCACAAGAAACCCAGTTGAAGACTTAAAGAAACAAGCCAACAACTTGATCACAGCAGCCAACAAACACACAAAAACACTCAAATTGCCAAAAATCACCGGTGAGTACAAACCTGGCTATTTCTATGGGACAGTCAAAACACATAAACCTGGTCTTCCTCTTCGCCCTATCATTTCTCAGATCCCCCTTCCCACTTACTCATTGGCAAAAACCCTGAACGAACTTCTGACTCCGTATGTGCCTCAAAACTATTCACTCCGGTCATCAGCTGAATTTGTTGATCTGCTGAAAACATCTGAGAGGAAGGGGCAGCTTGCGTCGTTAGATGTGACTAACCTCTTTACAAACGTACCTGTAGAGCGCACCATTAAGATTCTGATTGAGTACGCCTATGAAAACCCTGAACAGGCGCCACCGGAGTTCCCATCCCATATAATGGCTGCGTTACTACGATTATGCACCACAAAGGCTCCGTTTAGATCCCCGTCTGGCCAACTCTACTACCAAGTCGACGGGATTGCTATGGGCTCCCCCCTGGGCGTACTATTCGCCCAAGCCTTCATGACGTCAGTCGAAGAGACCGCCATAGCTAGCCTCACTCGCAAGCCTTCACTTTATTGTAGGTATATCGATGATATCCTCGTAGATGTTGAAGATCTGGACGATCTGCATGTCCTTAAAGTCAAACTAGAAGAGATTTCAGGGCTACAGTTCACAGTCGAGCTGAACACAAACGGCAAAATCAACTTCCTTGATGTCGCTATTGACTCATCCGACGTTCAGTATACCACCACAGTGTACAGAAAGCCCACAGATGCGGGACGCTGCTTAAACGGCTCTAGTGTCTGCCCGGATAAGTTCAAAGAGAGCGTCGTTAGAGCATATGTTCACCGGGCCCTTAAGCATTGCTCAAACTGGGAACTTTTCAACCGTGAGCTAAGACACATCAAACAACTCTTGACAAATAATGGGTTTCCAATTTCCCTGATTGATTCGATCGTAAACAAAACCCTATCAGCTTACATGGACAAAAAAGCTCAGTCCCGTGAGGTTGAACCTGACAAAGACACATCCACTACTCACACACTATATTTCAAAAATCAAATGTCCCCGGCTTACAAAAATGACGAAAAGGCCCTCAAAACAATCATCAAACGGAACGTCAGACCCACGAACACATCCCATGAGGTCAGACTAATAATCTACTACAAAAACCCGACGACCAAATCATTAGTCCTTCGAAACAACCCATCCAACGACCCATCTATCCTCAAAAAGACGAACGTTGTATACCACTACTCATGCAAAAAGGGAGACTGTGCGCTCCAAGCTAACAGTGGCTACATCGGACACACAACAACGACACTTAGCAGAAGAATAACAATGCACCTGCAACAGGGCGCGCTGCTGACACACAACGACACACACCACCAAGACGACCATCTCACACGAACTGACATCACTAAGAACATCACCATACTATGTCAAGAAACAGACAAGAGAAAACTGCATATACTGGAAGCAGTTTACATCAGAAAACTGGAACCTAAAATCAACAGACAGGTCAACGCCAGAGGGATACTCCAGCTTTTTGAAGGTGCCCCGCCATAAACGGAACGCAGGACAACACGCGAAGTGATTAATTCAAGTCGCTCCACTTCCTTGCCACATTCGAAACCATCTTCGAAACACCGATCGATATTGTACATTTGATGTGTTTTTATATGTCATCATGTCATCATATTAATCTGTAATCATGTAACAATCAACCATTGAAAATGTGTAATGCTACACGAAACGTCTGATTTGTCTTTACTCATTAAACATGTGTCTCATCTTCTTCCTTCTTTTCACTATGAACCTCGGAAATGTCCTCTTTCAACATACGCCAGAAAATAAGAAGATTATACGAAACGTGGAAAGTCTGAGCAAAAAAATAACAAATGCGAAACTCTCTATTCTGTTCAACAACACTTATATATATATATATATATATATATATATATATATATATATATATATATATATATATATATATATATATATATA